AAAAAAAAAAAAAAAAAAAAAAAAAAAAAGCCATGCTACTAGAGGGGAATGCTGAACCCAATTAGTATCTCAAAAGGATTTCAGGTGAAACGGCCAGAACATTCGTGGGTAGGGTGGGGCTTTCTCCACCTGGGATTTTCTAAAATCCTCTTTGTCACTATTCATTACCAGGAGCAGCTTGACACCCTCTGGTCCCTCCACCCTCGGGAAATGAACCTCCTAGTTTCAGTCTCTAACTGTCCCTCTCTGGCTTCCAGCAGTCCTTACCCATCTGCTTGTATCTCAATTTCAAAGAGGAAGGAGAGGAGGGTCGAGAGAGTGAAGACCCTAGGAAGCTCCCTGGGAGGTGTGCCTTTAAGGGCAGGGGCGAGGCGCTCCTTCTGGGGCGTGTCCCGAGGGGGCGTGTTCTGAGGGCGTGGCCGGGGCTGGGGCGGGCCCGGACGGGAGGAGTTTGAGCCCGGAGGCTGCAGCGGGCGGGGCACTGGGACTGGCGGCTTCGCGGGCGGAAGGTCGGGCCGGGGGTCAGGGACCTGGAAGGCCGTGAGGCCTGGCGAGGTAGAGGTTCGGAGTTTGCGAGTCCCATGCGCGGTCCGAGGTAAGAAAGAGCCGCCTTCCCCTGCACGGCCGGAGGGCCCGGGTGCCTTGAGTTCGACTTCTCAGCCTCCGTCCGGATCGGGAAACGGAGCACGGAGATGTCCCTGGGGTCTCGTCCCTGGAATGCGCAGCCCCGATTTCCCGCCTCTGTCCCTTAGCAGATCCGTGACCATCCGAGCGCTGGGCATCCGTCCATGCTTACAGAAGGCGCTCAATACATGCTCACTTGTGAATCAGTAAAATAAATCGGCAGTCAGGAGAAACAAGACGCATGCTGATCTTAAGGTGTTGGGGACAGCAGGGACGCGAGCATTTATTGAGCTCTTATTGTATACCCCGTTGGCCAGCATTTGTGTCCATTTCACAGATGAAGAATAAGAGGCCCAGAGAGGTGAAGTAACTTCCCCAAGGCCACACAGATAATAAGTGGCCGAGACGAATTGGAAGCCAGGAGTGTCCCGTTTCAACTTGGTGCCAAATAGAGCAACTCGGACTCCTTGGAGTGATTCAGGAGAACCACGGAAGAGGAAGGGCCGTGTCTTCCGTGGACAGGTGAGGAACCGTGGCTGAGACACGCGCCTTTCTGACCTCTCTTCCCCTCCCTACTGCCTCTCCCTCCCCTCAGGCTGTCAGCACATTGAGAAACACCTGTGCATACTTAAAGAAAAAAACGCTTTTATGGGCTTTGGTTTTCCTGATTGCAAAAATAAGACACACTCATCATAGAACACGTGAAAAAGCCAAAAGAGGAAATTTAGTTTGCTGAGGGCTTTTGTTTTTCCAGTTTAATTACTTTGAAACAAATTGAAGCTGTTTCGGCCCTGGTCTTGAGGGAAGAGGTACATGGTGGTGACCAGCCCAGCCCCACTGCTAACCCACTGTGTGTCTCTGAGCAACTCACTTCCCTCTTGGCTTTAAGTTCCCCATCGGAGGGGCTGTTGGCTCTGTGACCCTCTTGCTGTGTGACCTTGGGCGGGTTGCAGAATTCCTCTGCTAGGCGTGGTGATTCCCAACACTTTGGGAGGCCAAGGTGGGCAGAACGCTTGAGGCCAGGTGCTCGAGACCAGCCTGGCCAACATGGTGAAACCCTGTCTCTACTAAAAATACAAAAATTAGCCAGGCATGGTGGTGCGTGCCTGTAATCCCAGCTTCTTGGGAGGCTGAGGCAGGAGAATCAGTTCAACCAGGGAGGCAGAGGTTGCAGTGAGCCGAGATGGTGCCACTGCACTCCAGCATGGGTGACAGAGTGAGGCTCCGTCTGAAAACAAAACCAAACAAAACTCCTCTGAACCCCTCTCCCTGCTGTGCAGGTTGGGGGTGACATTTCCAGAATTGTTCTGAGGACTGGATGAGGGAGGCGTGGTGCAGGGAGGAAAGAAGCCTGGCTTCACCTCTCCGTGCCACAGTTAGTTCACCTGCAAAGTGGAATGGTAACACTGCCCCCTCTCGGCATGTTGTGGGGATAGAATGAAGTCATCCATGTTAAGCTTGGCTCCTGGTAAGACATAGAACAACAGCATTGCTTAGTGGGCCCCATAAAATGTGGCAGGCAAGCCTCTCTAGGTCTCAGAGTGGTGGCCCGGAGGCCAAGTCCACCCCTAGTAGGAGGGTTTTTTTTTTTTTTTCTTTTTCTTTAAGATGGGGTTTCACCATGATGGCCAGGCTGGTCTTGAACTCCTGACCTCAGGTGATCCATCCACCTCAGCCTCCCAACGTGCTAGGATTACAGGCGAGAGCCACCGCGCCTGGCCTGGTTTTGTTTTGAGGGCTTCTGCACTCCCGCTCACTGTCCGCTTCCCACATGTGTCTCACCCACCTGGCCCCAGAAGCCTGAGACTCTGAATCCTGGCTCAAGTTCCTAGTCCCTTGCAGCCCTGACATTCTGGTCCCAGGCAGGGGCCAGGCAGGGCAGGATAGGTTTCCATGGGGGCTCAGAAAGAAGGGCATATCTGATCTGATCTGTACGCTGAATGGGTGGGGCCTGGGGTCTCTGTGCAGAACATGGGTTTCTCCATCAGCTTTCCTTTGCCATGGGGAGGCAGGAAGTCAGTTCCTTAGCTGAGAAAGTCTTCAGGCCCCTTTTGCTGGGTCTATGGGTTTTCAGTGATGCTGTCCCCCACTTCTCACCCCCACCTTGCAGGCCACTGGAGCCACCAGCTGTTTGGAACTGAGCTACTGCAGAAAGGGAAGTGAAGAGTGAGGCCCAGGCCCCGTGGGGCTGGATGGCCGGCAGATGGCTGGATCTGCGCTGGGCACTGAGTGTGCTTTGTGTGCTGCTAATGGTAGAGACAGTGCCTGGGGCCAGGGGCCCGTCCACAGGGGCTCACATTAGCCCTCAATTTCCAGCTTCAGGTGTGAACCAGACCCCCGTGATAGATGTGAGTATCCCGGTAGGAAGCTGGGGTTGGGTGGGGCTGTGTTCCTCCAATCGATAAATATTTATTGAGCATCAACTATGTGCCAGGCACTGACTGAACCCTGGGATATACCAGGGAACGATATAGACAAAACTCACTACTCTCAAGGAGCTGACAGTTTCCTTAATAGACAAATCAAGAAGTAAATGTATACACTTTGGAAGACTGAGGCAGGTGGATCACTTGAGGCCAGGAGTTGGAGACCAGCCCGGCCATTGTGGCAAAACCCCGTATCTACTAAAAATTCAAAAATTAGCTGGGCATGGTGGTGGGTGCCTGTAATCTTCAGGACCTGGGAGGTGAATCGCTTGAACCTGGGTGGCGGAGGTTGCAGTGAGCCAGGAT